AATGCCTCCACGAGCACACGATAGAGAGGCTAGCGGTTCCAGCTCAGCTCTATCATAGGTTCCACAGATGGACCTCGCACTGCTTGCCATATTTGATAGGATGCAGAGGCACCAGGCATGCCTGGTAGAGGCACAGGCAGCAGCTAATGCTCAGATGTAGATACGTCAGGATCAGTTTCAGGCACAGTTTCTTGCCTTCCAGCAGATGACTTTTGGTTTCATGGAGCACATTCTTCAAGCTACTGGTGCTCCTCCATATTATCCTCTGGTTCAGCAGCTTGGTTCAGTAGCGACTCCTACCACGACTCCAGCATTGCAGTCTAGCAGACTTTAGAGTCAAGGACGGCTGCTAGCACAGTACGCCTCGTCCTCCGTGCAAATTTCTCAGTGGTTAGCTACTCCAGGCACAGGGCAGGCTCAGGGGTTCACACCGATCACCACAAGTTTCACTCCCGAACAGATAGAGTCCATGCTAGTGATAGATACCCTAGTTTCCCAGAGCTTGTCTACGCTATTTAGTGTGCTTATAGGGCACCCTATCCAGAGTTTTGAGTACCTGTATCTACCACAATAGTTCTGGTCACAAGGACTACTGAGATGGTCCCATCTTCTGTTGCTTCGTCAGAGCCGCCTCTTATTGTTACTCCTACACTTGAGGCCTCAACGACAGAGACAGCTATAGTCATGGTTCCTACAGAGATACTTTCAGATCCACTAGGTTAGGCCACCACTTTAGCTTCACAGTCTCAGCAGGCTGACCCCACTACCGAGTCCATCGAGCAGACTCAGACTCAGACCGCTTCACCTATAGAGGGTCAGACAGCTCAGAGTTCGGATTCCGACGTTGACTTGACTCAGGTTGAGCTCTCTCCGCGCACCTCCGCGCCTGACTCGTCTGCTCCCATCTCGCCCACTGGCCTTTAGATTTTGTTGCTTGACGCCAAAGGGGGAGAGGGAGAGTATGTTAGACTTAGGGGGGAGCGTGTGAGATGGACTCGTTCTTTTGTGTGTGATACTTTCATGCATTCACGTCTACCTTCATGCTTTGTATTACATGTGTGCTTGCTTATGTGATGACTTATGTGACATGTGTGCTCTCTACTTTGATATATATAACTTATGTGACATGTGTGCTCTCTACTTTGATATATATATGTCATGTCACTTGTTTACGCTCATTTGTTATGCTTCCACGTTATACTCCGATTCAAATGAGTTTTATGTTTAGTACTCGTGCTTAATTCATATCCTTTGAGTATATATTGTGGTCTTTGTATGCATGAACTTGTTCTAATCTCTTTGATCTTATTGTCCAAGTTCATGCAAATCAAGCATGTTGAAAACCTCACCCATCTCTTTTACACATACTCGAGGTAATGTTGTCATCAATCACCAAAAAGAGGGAGATTGAAAGCATCTAGGCCCCTAGGTGGTTTCGGTGATTAATGATGACATAAGATTATTGTGACTAACGTGTGTTTTGCAGAGGCAATTTGAGTTAGGTCACGATAATGTTGATTGTTTGGGCAATTAATGGTTTTCATACCCCTATCGATGGAAATCGTTTCGGTTTTTAAAGGATGGACGACAAGGTTAAGGACGGACTAGTTCTAAGTGTCGTTTGGCGTTGAGAGACACTTAGAGTAGTTTAGGACTTTATTTTTCCTTCGGCCATACTATGAAGGGGGTATGAATTAGTAGCTTAACCTAGGTGAGTCTAATGGTTTAGGTGTGGTGTACACTTGTCAAACTTAGCACTAAGTAGCTCAGGGACAGCTCAAAGATCAATTGGAGTCAACCTCATTCACAAAGGACTTGGATTTGGAGGTGAATGGAGGTGTGACAGAGGGACCGGACGCTGGTCCTTGTTGGACCGGACGTGTCTCGTCAATGTTTGGACAGCGCAGTAGAGGTTTTCAAGCGACTGGACGCGACTCTACCACCGAAGCAGCTGAGGTTCAGCGCTCAGACTGGACCGGACGCTGGCAAGTAAGTGACCGGACTCTAGGGAGCCAGCGTCCGATCAGGAACAAAGAGGTCCCAGAAGCCACTTTCATTGATCGGACACGTCCAGTGGGTGCTGACCGGACGCAGGTCATGGTTCGGTCACGGTAACGACCATCTGTCAGTGCTGACGTCATGTAGCCGTTGGCTACGAACCGGACGCGTTCGGTCACTCTAACAGACGTGTCCGGTCAGTAGGACTTTTGCTGAGTTGGACCCCAACGGGTATGTTGGGATGTGGGCCTTATAAATACATCTCCTACTGGTCCAACTTAGCACTATTGCCCATTTGTTTAGCTGAGGAAACACTTTGGAGTGCAAGGGAGAGCAAGAGCCTAGTGAGCAGATTGAGATTTGATAATCCAAGATTAAGAACCTCATTAGTGCATAGGGAGTAGCAAGTGTGCATCCATCTTTCTCATTAGGCTTGTCATTGTGAAGTGAGAGTTTGAGCTTGTTACTCTTGGTGATCGGCATTACCTAGACGGCTTGGTGGTGATTGGGAGCTTGGTGATCATCTGGTGGTGCTTGTGGATGACCCAACTCATCTTGTGAGCGGTTGTGTGTGATTTACCGTGCCGGAGTGGCGAAGAACCAGCCCGTAGAAAGCACTTAATCCTTGTGCGGATCAAGGGGGAGCGATACCCTTGCGCGGGTGCTCCAACGAGGACTAGATGGAAGTGCTGATTCTCCGATACCTCGAAAAAACATCGCCGTGTTCCTTTACTCTATTTACTTTGAACATTTCAATTCATGTCTTTACATTCTTAGAATTATCATGCTAGAGTAGAATTAGAACCTAGGTTGATAAACTTTTGTGCGGTAGAACAAATAGAACACACTTTTAGACACTAGAGGTGAAATGGGCTAAGTGTAGGCCTTAATTATTGCAAGAAATATTAGAATATCCCAACTCACCCACTCTTGGGTATCTTGATCCTTTCACTCACAATGAAGTCTACAATTTTATAGTTTTAAGTTTTTATATTTGAGATCATTAATATACTCTAAAAATTAATATAAAGTTTTAACAATATATTAATTATGCACTAGGTCTTGTCGCCCTACTAAAATTATATATTTTTCCTGTATGGTATCAAACGAAGATATTTTTATATTAAAGTTGTAGCTACCTATGAGATCAATAACTTTTTAGTTTTGAGGTCTTTCATTTGAGATAGTTAAGATACCCAAGAAATAATACAAAAATTATGGGGCATATTAATCGTGTATCAAAGCTTATCTTTTTAGAAAAATCATATATTTCTTATTTGATGTCACATAAAAATATTTTTTAAATGAAAAAGTTGTAGATGTCATTAAGAGCTACAACTTTGATATAAAAATTATCTTCATTCGACACGATACAAAAATGATATTATTTTTCTAATGCGACAAGCACTATTACGCTATTATTATGCTGCAGAAATTTATATTATTTTTTTGTGCATCATAACGACCCCAAATGTAAAACCTCAAAACTATAAAGATGTAGATCTCATTAAGAGTTACAACTTTGATGTGAAAAGGTATCTTCATTTGACACCATACATAAAAGATATGATTTTTCTCATACGACAAGCGCTAGTATGTGATTATTATGCTCCTGAAATTTTATATTATTTTTTAAAATATTTTAACATCCTCAATTGAGAAAACTAAAAACTAGAAAGTAGTAGATCTCATTTAGGTCTGCAATTTTTATATAAAGTTCATCTTCATCCGACATCGTATTCAAAAGTTATAATTTTTTTAAGATTTAGTCTTATCACGCCACTCCCGGTGGCGTGACAGAATAGTACTGTCATGCCAACTGAAATGGCGTGACAAGGTTTTCCACATCAGAAACATCGTTTGACGTGGCAAATATTGCTATGCCAATGCACGTGACACGACAACGTTATTTTGTCGTGCAAGAGGCACTAGCACGACCAAAAAGACTAGATCTGCAATTGTTTTAGAGCAATTATTATTAAAATTGAATAAAAAAGGATTATAAAAAACGCGTTTACGTAGAGTCATCGCGGCTAGTTCTTGGCATTTAGCATGCCTCTAATTGCTAGTGGTGTCGTGCTGCGTCTCAGCATCCGCCTACTGATAACAGAGGAATCAGTCACCCAAGCTTTCCTGTTCGGCAGGTGGTTTTTCAGTGGATTCCGACTTATTTAATAGTGTTTCTACGAGAGAGAATAAGCTAAAGTACGACTGATAAGCCGGCTAATAAGTACAAGAACAGCGCATCGTGAATTTCAGTAGTAACTCGTTTCTCGTACGAGGAGCTGTTCAATTGAAGAAAGAAAAAGTTTCACACATACTGCTACTCTGCTAGTAATTACTAGTTGCTCAGGGACAGCAACAACTCGGTACTCGCAGCATCTCCAACTTGCTGCCAAAAACATGCAAGAAGTGGATCCTTAGCTGCTGGCGTCCATTAAATGATCAGATTTCCAGATCAGACGAACACACAATTCGCGATTCGTTTCGCAATGTCCATCCACCCAGGAGACAGGAATAGGAACTCACCCCACAGCCCACACCACACCGTGCCAGAAACTGACCTGTCGATCCGGTCCCGAGCAGCGACAGCTCCTGGGCCCGCTCGCCGAGGCAGCGCCCATCACGCCAGTGTCAGCCTTGCGCCTGTGCCCTGTGCGCCGGGGACGTCGCGCTCGCTGATTTTTCTAAAGCGTGAGTGGCCCGCCGATAAGAACGGGCCGGGGGCCGGGGGCATGTGCGTGCGCCCCCGTCTCGCTGCCGCGATGAGTAAACTACTACTATTACTGCTACTCCGGCACACCGCGACGTCCCGACGGCGACACCCCCTCCGCTGCTGATGCTACGGCCTTTTCCCCTTCCTCCGATTTTAATTTGCCGTGGAGACTGACTTGACCCGGCCACCCGCCGGGACAAATAATAACACCGTCACCAGATAGTAGCCAGCTTTCTTGGCGGCCGCTAGTGGGAGCAGGCAAGAGAGGTGGAGCCTCGCCGGCGCTATGGCGCAGGTCACCGGCGGCAGCAAGGGGATCGGGCACGCGGTCGTCGAAGAGCTTCAGGAGTCCCATCGCCTGTGGGCGGAGAAGGGGCTCGACGTCACCGTCACCGTCTCCGTCTGTGATGTCTCCGTGCCGTCCGACCGGGAGAAGCTCATGGACACGGTCAAGGCGACCTTCGATGGCAAGCTCGACATCCTGGTAAGGTCGACGGCAAGCTTGTCCTGCCATGTGGCATATATATATGACCATCACCAAACTAAACGTGTATGCACACACACGAACAGATGAATAACGCGGGGCAGGTGTTCTTCAAGGCGGCGGCGGAGTGCACGGCGGAGGACTACTCGCATGTGATGGCGACCAACTTGGAGTCAAGCTTCCATCTCTGACAGCTCGCTCACCCTCTCTTCGTCAGAGCTTCCATCGCCGGAGGAGGAAGCGTCGTCCATATCTCCTCCATTGCAAGCTACCTGGGTTACCCAGCGCTCGTGCTCTACTGCATCTCCAAAGGTACCAATACGTGCATGCTATGCTAATTAGAAATAGGCAATTTTTGCTGTGGGACATCGCGAAAACAACAAATTGGCTGCAACACACCGCTAACACCTGCTTTTGCTGAGTACCATTATGAAATCACGAATGTTTGCCAGTGGACACCGCCTCCATTAAAATAAAGAAAAACAGCAATCGGGAGAGAAAGCACAGTAAAGAGACGTTTTTACCCCTGCCGGCCTGAGTCCTATCATTTAGGTGGTCCGGTTGGACCAGCTCGGCTCGGCCCCGGCCGTCTTCTTCCTTCCCCCGTTCTCGTTCTCGTCAGTCTCTCTCCCCATCCTCATTCCCCATCTCGACGAACCCTAGCTTCGAGCCATGGCATCGAGCTCGCATTCCACACCGTGCGGCGCGCCGCACCTAGCTTCGCCGTCGCTCGACCCCTATAGAGACCAAGCTGGATTCTTGCCCTTGGTTCCTTGCCACAAGTGCGGAACCGTTTTCATCGGGCGCGTGTCGCAGAAGCCTGGCAGCAAGGGGAAGAGGTTTTACAAGTGTCCACTGCTTGAGCATGTAAGTGGTCGTTGACTTCTGACCTGGTTTTGAGGAGATGCGCATTTTTTTGATTTTTCATCTCTTGTTTGCCAGACCGACTTTGCGTGTGGAGTGTACTACTTTGAGGAACAGTATATCAATTACTTGGTCGCCAAAGGCGTTCTTCCTCGCGCTTGTAGTCAAGTTCGAGTTCAGGGTGCCATGGCGCTCGAGGTGATGAGGGAAGGCAATGACAAGGAGAAGGCCTGCCAAGGATTTGATGGCTGCCAAGATCTGTTGGAGACTACAGTGATTCATCTCCAAGGTTCAGAGGCACTACTGAAGTCAGTACTTGAGAGCAACAAGAAATTGTTGACTAACATGAATAAAATTGGAGAGCGGCTGCTTGTAGTTGGTGGTGTAATGGTTTTCGTTTTAGTGTTAGTTCTGTTAGTGTTGTTGGTCAAGTGAAGCAGAACAACAGGTTGTCTTGTATCCTGGTTAACATGTATCCAGTTAGTGTTGTTGGTCATGGTCATGAACATGTATCCAGTTAGTGTTGTTGGTCATGAACATGTATCCAGCTTATCTGTACCTTGTTTGAAATCAATGATGCATCTTAACTATGTTGCAAGAAAATGGTCTACCAAATTGTATCTGAGTTCATGAATGATGGGGCAAGAAAATGGTGTGACAAATTGTTGCAAAAACATGCATCTAGGTTTAATTTGATCACTTCACACAACAAAGTCTGCCAACTGAGTTCATGATTGAGATTGCATAATTGAGTTCACAGGTTCATCACACTACATAACATGTTTAGCACACTACATAACAAGTTCATAGGTCCATCATCACCACCAAATAAATAACAGGTTAACCACAAAATAGATCCATTACATAAGACATGCATCACAGGTCCAGGATGAGCTTCTTCTTGCTGATCCTCTTGCCGGCCTTGCTTGCCTCCTTTTCCCCAGCCTGCATTTCTTCTCTAGTAGCCTTGGTGGTCACCACCTTTTTCTTCTTCTTTTGATGCTGCACTTCTACTATTGGGGAGGAAGTTTCACCACCTAGCTCCAATGCCCTCTTGCGGCTGTAGTCATACCCAACATTAGAAAGATAAATAACAGTATGTTGTCATAGATAACAGGCATCAAGTCTTTACACTTACCTCCTAGTGTTTGCTGCGGGGCTGTTTGTTAGAGCTGGTGGTGCAATGTTTGGTGGGCTGTTTGTCAGAGCAGGACAGACAGTTGTTTCTTGAGCACCTTCAATCTGTGATTGCTGGGTAGAGACAGTTGTTGTGGCAGTGCTTTTCTTTTTCTTTGCTCTCTTGGGCTTTGGTGGTGCATCAGAGTCATAAACAGTTTCATTACAGGTCTTCATCATGTGACCAAACCCTCCACACCTCTTGCACTGGCGCTGGCTTTTTTGCTTGCCACCTTCTTCAGAACCTTTTATCCTTCTTGATCTGGGCCGACCTGCAGCTCTCTTGAACCTTGGAGGCCAAAGTTTGAAACCCAAGTCCACATCAGGCCACTAGTTCCTATCTGTCATGGGACTTATCACATGTTCATATGCTTTCTTGAACTTATCAACCGAATAATAGTCATCTATGTAGTCTTCCACACTTCTGTTGCGCATGGAATGGATGAAGCAGAGAGCATGAGTACATGGCAATCCAGTAATCTGCCACCTTTGACAGCTGCATGATCTATTATCAAGGTCGACAGTATGCCTCCAGGTTTTCAGTTCCTTTGTAGTGCCTTGAATCTCAGCAGCGTTGTTGGGCCCCCTATGTATGGCATACTGTAAATTCCTACTCATGGCATGCAGCTCTTTGGTGACATGAGGCAAGATCTTGTCTCTCAGCTTAAGTGGCAGTGACCTCCTAAGGTCTTGTTTCTCCATGATCATTTGCCTGATCCTATCCAACAGAGGAATTAAAGCCAATGACTTCTCATTTCTAATCCAACTGTTGAAGGTCTCTGCTATGTTGTTAGTAACATAGTCACATTTTCTTGCATGAGAGAACTTCCATCTACTCCATATGTGCTTGTGGTTGTCCTCTATCCAGTTCATTGCCCTTGGTGAAGCTTGCTTCATGATGTTGTAATGGTGATCAAAGTGCCTCTGGTTGTAAGCTCTGCTTGCTGGCCACAAATGTTTCTTGAACACTACTCCTCTATACCTCTTGTTAAAATTCTTCACTAGATGCCTCATGCACTCTCTATGCTCTACTTCATATGGGAAAACATATGTAACTCCCTTATCTATTCCTTTGCCTGCATCTGTGCATATGACCAGGCCTGGAGGAGTCCCAATTGCCACTTTAAGTTTCTCAAAAAACCATATCCAATTTTCAGCAGTTTCAGACTCAAAGACACCATATGCCACTGGAAAAAGCCAGTTGTGTCCATCCACAGCTGAAGCAGAAGCTAACTGTCCTCTCCACCTCCTAGTCAAAACTGTTGAGTCAACACCTAAGAAGGGTCTGCATCCATTCAAAAAACCTTGAACACAGCTCTTAAATGCAACAAACATCCTTGTGAACCTCCTCTTATTACCAGCCAGTATCCACTCAATGTCCACAATGCTACCAAGATTTGTCCTGTCCACCTTAGCCTTGAATCTAAAAACATCTTCAAAGCTGTCATCCCATTTTCCTTGAATTTGCTCTAGAGCCATTTGCAGTCCATCCCAGACAACATAGTATGAAAGTTGGATGTTGTACTTGTTCTGCAAATCCTTCCTCAGTTTACCAGCTTGAATTGTTGGTTCATCCTTCAGGATGGTAATGGCCCTGTCCCTCACCCAGGCATTGGTAGTCATGCAGTTCTTCTCCAGTTGGGATGTGCTGGCACAAGTATGTTTTTCCAACTTCTTTATCTGACAAATAAAAGGAAGGCAAAGCATCAAACACATGTTGGGAAAAATAAGAACCAAAATGTAAGGAAATTTGAAAAAGAAATAAACTGACCTGCCAAGTCTTGCCATCTGTAATTGAGAAGCATGTATCCTCCACTTGCACCTCTTCTTCTTGCTCTTGAATCCTTTGTAGTGCCCTCTATACCTTTTGGATTCACTATAAGGAGCTGCAATTTCAAACTCTTTTAGCACAGCATATTGTCTAATAGCCCTCTTAAAGGTGTCCCCATCCTCAAATGTGACACCACATTCTATAGTTGGGTTTTCTAAGTTAGTAACATGCTCATTGATCTCACAACCAGCATCATCATCAACATACAAATCATCATGAACAAGAGAGTCAGAGTTAGTATCCCCCTCTGATGCTTGTTGATCTTGCTGTTTTGGCATATAATGGCCCTCATCATTGACCCCAACATACTCCTCAACATCTTCTTCCCATGAAACATCATCATTAGCATGCTTCTTCTTGCTTCTTCCTTGAGCAGGTGTGGATTTCTCAGCTGAGTCATCAGAGTTAGAAGAGTGAACACTGTCATCATCACTTTCTCCCCCACTAAGTGACTCCACATCGGCCTCACCTCCACCAGGCCCAACAGTTTCAACAATCTGATTGTTCTGCCCATCATCATGACCAAGCAGAGGGGGCAGCAATGGGAGAGCAACAGATGCACTGGCCTCATTATCCAAAGACACACTCTGACTATATGCAATAGGAATCATGTCATAAAAATTCACAAACACTGCCTTAGGTGCCAATAATTGTTAGTAGCATCCATCAAAGCTACATCTGAGGTCAGATTAGTATAGCATTGGGTGTTCTTGTCGAAATATGTCAAATTGAAGCTCTAATTCTTCCCAATAGACACTTTGGCAGCTACATCCTTACTTAAATCAATCAGATTCAGAGTGTCCCTATCAACAATGAGCTGAAAATCTGCTGTATTGTGAGCCACATTTCTACCGTCATCGCAAGCCTCATAGTAACATGGGACACGCACTGCTATGCGTAATGCAGAACTACTGTCCATCCTAAAACATGGACAAGAACAAGAAATCATGAAAACCCTAGCTTCGGATGCGCAAATCGACCCCCAAGTTCACTGCAACCCTGTTAACCAACCCCAGATCGAAAAGTGGAAGAGGATAAGAGTGCATACCCCTCAGGAACCCATGACAGATTCACTCCCTTGGACGGTGAATCTATGCTCGGGCGGAGCCGCTTCGATTTCGCCGGCGAAGCCATCTTCATGCATCCATGGCACGCCGACTGTGGGGAAGAGACGGCGGTGTGGGCGGCAGGAGACGGCGGCGTGGTTGTCTGGAGATGGCGGCGTGGGTGGCTGGAGACGGCGGCGCTGCGGGAGACTGGAGACGCCGGTGCTGCGGGAGACTGGAGACGCCGTCGGCTAGGGTTGGATAGAGCACAGGG